TCTTGTCAGCTCTGTTGGCAGGCGTTCAAACTTCTTTGTGTTAGGGTGATATTATTAATTTGTTCCATATGAAGTTGCTGATATTTAACCATTTGTGACCTACAGTAGTGTCAATTTCATGTGGTTTCACCTAATGTATAGGTGACATGTATAGGACAGACATGTGAATAAGGGCCAGGAATAAAGTTTAAAGTGTGTTTCTTGTGATCTTCCAATGTTACATTCATTGGAACGTGAATAATGTTTCAGTTAGTTTGACAATGAGTCAAATAGTGTTTAAACTAATTTAAGTAAACCATGTAGCCCAACTGGTCACTAAAGGGAAGTTATTTTATCTTAATCTGAAAACTGTATGATTTAAATGTATTCTAGTAATGTTTAGAAGATGGAGGGTAAACAATACCTGTTAGAAAGAGCTGTGTGACCTGCAAACTACTTTAGTTGTTATTTAAATGTTTGCAATTAACAAAAAAAAGCCATCAACCGTACACCCCACAAGTCTGAATAGGAACTGGGTGGGTTTGTGCCTATAAGGAAGTGTGTCTATGAAGCACGGAATCTTTCTAGATTTATAAAAGCATATATCTCAAATATATGATCTTTTCAAAGAAATAACTTTGTAGGTTATATATTTCCAGTAATGAACTATTGCCCATAATATTTTAGGGGTCCCACTTTTGGGGCATTGACCCCACAAATAGGTCATTAAACATGTTTGATAGTGACACCCAGGTTTTCACTTAAAATGCACCTTATGCACCAGCCTGGGCTCCGAATGATTAGAAGTGATTTCCAAAAGCTATACCAAGCCTGAAAAGATCAGCGTAGTGTGACTAGGGAGGATATTCAGACTTGATGAAAAACTATTGTGAGCACAGGCAGTACACGTTAGAAGAAATACGTAATTTCTACCTTAATGGCAATAGCAAACATTTGGATGAATGTTTAGCGATATATTCGTTTTTTAAAAAGTCACTTTAATTCTCAGACCTCCAAAGCTCATTCTAATACTGTTTTCTAATTGGAATAACACCAGTTTGGAGTTTTGTGCATTGCCACATAAGTCTCATCAATCTCTTAGTACCCAGTATTCTTTAAATTAACGTTTCCCAAAAGTAGCTTAAGTAAATCTGAAGCCATGGTAATCAGCAATTTTAATTTACTGTGGGACACCAAAGTACTGCGTAATATTTTTATTAAAAAATATTTCTGTAAATTGTGAATCACATTGTTGATAGCCACTGGTTAATGACGACACATTCATCTAAAAGCTGTGGTGTTAACGAATAAAAAGTCCAGATAACTATATTTAGTATGAAACCTGTAACTGAGGAAAGCCTGGCTGGTTGCACTCTGAAATGATTAAGCAGGCACTGCTGTTTGTGGCCACATCCACCTGCGTTATATATAATGCCTGAGAGGAAAACAAAGTCAGCTGTTCAGAGGTCTGGTATTACAAGCCCTGACTTTTTAATTAATGGTAAATATAGTAAGCTATCTGTCTTTGAGGATATTTTACCCACTAGAGATCCCAAGTTTTAGCTGAAATATGATTAGGATATTTTTAAAACCTGAATTCATTTTCGTACAGGAAAAGGCTGACTTCCGTCTGGCTCACTGCCAGAATCATATTTCTTGTGACATACAAGTTCTGCTTGTTGCCTGTTAGAAACCTCTAGGCAGTCTCCTTCATTACCACCATTAAATAGTTTCCTTAATATTTAATCCAGTAATCTCAGCAGTTTTAAAAAAATCCATTAGTAGTACTCTTTTCTTTTGAACTGGTGTTCTGAAATATCAAAGTCAAAAGTTCGAATAGCTTATTATAGCTTTCACCCAATTGGAAGTGAACTGACATTTCAGATAGTCTAAGTGGGGATAAACCGTGCACTGTGGTTTCAGACAGGATATACATTTGAGTAATGAGGATAGTTATGTGTGTTCATTGCCTTTTAATCTGATTGACTATTGAAGTTAGTATCTTCATATTAGTCATTTTAGTGTCGTTTAGTTTGACTGTGGCATCTAGTGAGTTGGGGGA